CCCAGACTACCAGCTCCAGCCAGCTACCCTCAAGATCCTGTGCTGTGAAGACTTCCTAAGGTTCAGATTCAAATCTCTTTGCGCCCTGCCCTCAGTGCAGGAGGCTCGGTGGTAATGGTATAGTAGCAGGCTCTTAACTCTGTGCCAGGCATCATTCTAATCACTTTTATATGGAGTCGCTTATTGAATCCTCTCTCCCTATAAGGTAGGTGCTATTATCGTCTCCACTTTACAGATGAGGAAACTGAAGCACAGAGAGGTTAAGTTACTGGCACAGAGTCTCATGAATAGCAAGTGGTGGTGCCAGGATTCGAACCCAGGTCGTCTCGCTCCAGAGGCCTGGGGTGTAGAAGTAACCAGCGATTGGCCAGAGGCCCCACCTTCTTCCTGCAGACGGACAGGCTGCCCTGGCCAATGAGGCTGCAGGCTCCCTCTCCCACTCTCTCCGTAGTTGTTGGGACAGCCCGTTGGCCCCAGCATGAGGAGAGGACCTAGCTAGAGCCACCATATTTATTTGGGGAAGGCAACGAGGGCTGGGAGAATTGGGGCCTGCAAGAAGCCCAGAAAGGCCTACTGACCCTGTCCTGGCCTCTTAGGATGAGCACTGTCATCTCTCCCTTCTTCCAGGAGAGCTGAACTGTCCCCTGCCCCCAGCCGCCACTCCTCACAGTGGTGAGTTTTCTTTTTCAATGGAGAGGGGCTGACGGCATCTACAGCATAGGTAGTTTTACTTTCAGTTTTACGGCATTAAATAACACTGAATCACATAGAGAGAAGGTTATTCCCTTTTCGATTCTCTTTCAGTCCTGATTACATCAAAGAGAAAGTCCCAGTTTGATGCCAGTGTGTCTTCAAAACATCTCTGTTATGTGCTAAGCTCTTCTTTTTTTTTTTTTTTTTTTCTTTTTCCTGCAAGGTACAGCAGGCTTGGAGCCTTCCCCAGGCTATAGTTTCCAACTAGAATTTACCTTATTTGGTTTTCCTATTATGTACTTCTATGATTTTGTTCTATTTATGGCAAGTGGCACTGGCTTTCCATTTATGGCAGTGGTACAAAGTTTCCTTTTAAAATCTATTTACTTAAGTCAAAGAATGAGTAGATTTAAAGAGGGTACATAGGATGATGGGCAGACACTGGAGAAATCCCCAAAGTGGTGAACAAATGGACTGAAGGTCAGGAAACACCATCATGGGATTACCCTTCCGAAGTGAGTGGTCAGCGTTGCCGAGACCCCGTTACCCAGCCTGCCCAGGGCTCAGATAAAGGCGGCGTGTGTGTTTGTGGTCCCACTGTAAGTGAACAGCAGAGACGGGGCTTGACCCCCGTTCCCCATGGGAAGTAAGATCCTATGTAGAAAGGTTAAGGGACTAGGTTGGCTCGGTCAGGAGCAGAGCAGCTTCATTACTGAGTTACTGATGGACACAATGGTGACCGTTGTCTTTCTCTCTGGGGACGGTCAGCCAAAGTAAACAGGCTGAATGTTAAGCTCAGTTGCAAGAAAGACCCCAACAAGACAAGCAAAGCCTGAGCCCGGCTTGCCTTGAAGTGGCAAAGTCCCCATCTCTGGAGAGCTTTAAGAGGGGAATCTGCAGGCACCTCCATGGGCGTTACAGACTGTAAGTGTGTAGAGATGCTACAGAGGGCTGGGCCCAGCACTTCCGACCTCCAGCATCCTAGAGAGTCCTGTCCCAGTGAAACCAGTCAATGCCTTCCCCTGCTCTGGGCGCTCTACCGGACCCTGCAGGAAGCAAGGAGCTAAGATGGTAAACCAATGGCGTGTGGCCTCCAAAAGCCAAGAGGCAGAATAATACTACACAGCCAGAGTTCACCAGGTGCCAGGCACTATGTTATGCCAGCCTCTGTGTTACGTGTGCACCGAATACTCACAGCAGCCCTCGGAGGGAGGTGCTGCCATCATCCCTATGGGAGAGATGATAGAACTTGCTCACGGATGCTGAGTAACTTGTGCAAAGTGACAGAGCAGTAAAGGACCATCTTGGGATTTGAACGGAGCTCTGATTGACTCCCCAAGCCAGACTGTTAAGTGACAGGGTTGAACAGGAAGCCCTGGCATGCAGGGCACACAACTCCAGGTCCCTTCCATTCTCACACAGGGTGGCATCAGGAAGGCCTTGGGCATGCCCGCACTGCTGCTAAGGGGATCCAAGGGTCCATCAGAAGCTTCACAGCAGCTCCCTGGTGAGGCCAGACTGCTCCTGGATGAACGGTTGGCTTAAAACCTGGCACCTCAAACTCAGTCTTTGGGGCTTGGTCAGTGCTGGTGAGGGGTCACTGCCAGTATACCCGATGGGCACCAAGGACCCCTTTCTTCCTCTCTTCTTTCCCTCTGTCTGCTTGGGCCTAAGACCCATATGTGTGTGCATATAGGGAGGTGGCCTTCCAGCGGTGTACCTCCCACCTGGGCCACCCTCTCCTACGGAGGTCAGGCCCCAGAGGGAACCTATGCCCTACCTGGGGGAAAGAGAGCAACCAGCCCAGCTCAGCAAGGGGCTCCCCAGTATTGCTGCGTACCCCTGGCATTGGGTAGAGGCTCCCTTACGCCCGTGGGCTGGCCTCAAGCCTGCTTCTCTCCACCTCAGGGCCTCTGGGCAGCAGACTGTGGATTTCCTAAGAGCCGATCATTGCTGTGTCAGAGGCTTGCACCACTGGGTTACTCAACAAGGCCCTGCAACCCTGCTTACCATACAGGGGAAGATGGGCTCTCACCTCCCCAGCCCCAGTGCGCCTCCATGGGCTCGTCCCAGAGTTTGGGACTCTTGGGTCAGCCTGTGAGGACACGGCACAGACAGTAACTTCCACAGGTCCTGGGAAGGCCAATAGGGGAAGAAGAGGCTCTGCCACCCTTGGGGTCTGCTGGGTCCTGGCTCCCTAGGTGCCTCTCTCCACCCATTTCAACCTGGGTCAGGCCCAGGAAAGGGGTATCTGCAACTTTTCCTAGGCTCCTGTGCGCCATTATCACCACCGCCATTCTCCATGGTGCTGGCCCAGCCCCAAGAGCTAGAGAACAAACAGGTCTGCACTAGCCACCTCCATCTCACCTTCCCAAAGCATCAAGACTTTGACAGTGAGCAATCCTGCCCAGGGCCAACCGGCACCTCAGCAGGCCGGTGAGCAGGTCTTTCCAACTCAGACACCCTCCGGACCATGCCCGCAACCAGGCCTCCCCATCTCTTATCCCCCTTCTTGCACACTGTACTGGGTAGCAGCACGCATATTCATTAGCACGCCCATATTACAGTTAGGAATACTGAGTCCCAGAGTAGGTCAAAACTAAGAGAATTCTCCTGACTCCTTTCAGTGGAAAGCTGCTTCAAACCCTAATTATCTCCTTGAGCTGGGCCCAGGGAGAGATGGAGTACCAAGCTGTTTAAGTAGCCAAGACCTCTGGGGGTGAAGCCTCCTGGCTGAAGAGACAATATGGAGTGAGGGGCTCTGAGCCTCTCTGCTACTGGCTCTGTGCAAGCTGGCTCTCTCTGCCCTAGTTCTCGGGAACTCAGTTTCCCAAACTGGGGCTGCTGAACAGAGAGCAGCTCAGCCAGAGGAGGACAGGGTAGGGGTAAGAAAACGGAAGGGCCCCTTGGGGTCACTTGGAAAGGATGGGGCAGGGCAGGTGGTCTGTAGTGGGTGGGATGCTGGCCGGTCCTGCCTGCCACCATCCACTGCTCCTTTGGGAAGCCCTGTCTGCCATGAGCCATGGCCTTGGTGCCGAGACTGCTCCCCCACCCGCTTTGGCTCTTCCTGGGGAGCATCCAGTTCAGGGCTTAGGCATCTCTGTCTGTGGGGTGTGGGCTCCCTCCTCCTTATAGGAGGCCCAGGCCAGCCTCCCAGCGCTGAGATACCATGCTGCCTGCAGGCTCCCCAGTTTCTGAGGCGTTTTCCAGGTTCTCTCAGAACCCTCCTCTTGCCCTTACCCTGTCTTCCCCTTCCTCCCCTTCTTCTGACTCACCCACTGGGTCCCTTGCCAAGCTCCCCACCTCCCTCCTGCCTCCCTCTGACTCCCTGCATGACTCACACTTTCCCTGAGCCTTCCCATGGAAAAAGTTTAAAGTTTAGTTCCATAGGCTGCCTGCCGGCCCCCTCTTCCCTCAAGATCCAGCTGCTTCAGTCCTGGACAGGCAAGAAGCAGGGGCCAGGCTGTGGGTACCGGGACCTTTGCCCCCCACTCAAGGAGCCCCTGTGTCCTGACCAGGATACCACCTAGAGTTGTGACAGTCTGGACTTCGGACGGGGAAAGTGACACCTCCCTGTGTATGGCTTCTGTGTCTGAGCTGAGGAAACTGAGGCCCGAAAGATGCTATAAGTTATCCAAGGACCTAGAAGGGGCTCACAGCCAAGCTGGGCAATGTCCCACATTCTCCCCAGTGCATGCCCTACACCAGTCCCTGAGCTGCAGCTTTGCTAGGATGCTGGGAATCAGCTGACCACTCAACTCTCAGCCGTCAGACCCTCAGGATAAGGACCAGAGGGCGCCCATATCCAGCTGTGGACCAGTGCCTGCACTGGCTAGTGCCCACCAAGGCTCAACCAAGAGTGTCACCAGGGTACGGGACACTGGCTGAGAGTATACAACTTCGGCGCCTCGTGAGATCCTGGGGTCCTGGGGTGGGGCAGGGAGATGCCACAGGTGTCAAAAGCCAGTGGCACCCACTAGAACACATTGGGCTGTCTCCACCGTGTTTATCTCCTGTTCTGCAGAAGGTACTCGTGCCTGGGCTCTCTGGGTCGGGAAGGGCTGGACAGGCAGCTGCTTGGGCAACTGTTGGCATACACGCGTGCCCACCACCCAGCCAGGGCACTTGGCAGAGAGCCGCCGCCCCTGCCAAGCCGTCCTAGTGGCCTCCCTGCCGCGGGCTGGGGTCACGGCAGGCTGAAGGGGGCTCCCAGGGCGCCCCCATCTGACCTGGGACACCCCCCCACACCCTGCCCCGCTGTGCTATCCCGTTGCTCCTCCCGAGCACCCAGGCTCCGCCGACCTTACCTCGGGAGGCAGCCAGGAAGAAGGCGAGGAGCACAGGCCCCCAGCGCCAGCTGCCAGCCCCCGGGACTGGGGGGACGCCCATGTCGCCGTCGGGCAGAGCTGCGTCTGGCGCAGCCGGGCCGGAGCGGAGCCCGGGGGCGCGCAGGGGGCACTCCTGGTTCGCAGGGAGCGGACGGGACGCGGCCGGCGGGGAAACCTCCGCGCGAGTGAGCGCAGAGCAAGTGAACGCGGCCGGCAGCCCGAGAGCCGCCCGCTCCCAGGGGCCACAGCGCCCCCGGGCGGCCAAGGCGGAAGCGCTGCCTCTCCAAGGGCCCCCGCGGGAGGGGCTTCCCGCTGACTCGCACCCGGCTGGCCTTGTAGGTGGGGGAGCCAGTCAGTATGCCAAGAGTCAGCGCCACTTGATCGCCCGTTTGAAGCCTTTTCTTCTCTCCCCCATTACTCTTTGCAGAGGATTAGTATTGTTGTAGAGCCTGAGAAGTTCATCTGCGTCTAACTTAGCGCGATACGTCATCATCATCATAGATTGTATCATCCCTCACCCACCAGCAGAGGCTTGTACCTGACGTCCTCCAGCCCAGCCCAGCCCAGGTCCTGGCACTCCCAGTAGTGGAATGACTGACTGACTGAATGAATGAATAGATGGATGGATGGATGGATGGATGAAATGTAACTTTTGTAAAGAGCTAGGTGAGTGAGTTGGGGCAGGCTTGACTGTAGATTCCAGAGACTGCAACACCCTTGTGCACACGCACACACATGTGTGGCAGGTGCAGGAGTACCCAGCAGGCTTGGCACACCCCTACACTAGGACACACATACGTGTGTGTGTGTGTAACATCAGGTAGTGTGTCCCGCAGAAAATCATCAGTACTCCTCTCACCCAGGCCCCAGCCTCTCTTACTCGCTGCACCCTAGATGTCTGCAGGATGCGCTCACACACACACACCCCTTCTAGTCCTCAGCTCTTGCACCCCACCCAGCACTGGCACTGCTGGCAATACCTCTCTCCTCTTTCAAGCCCTGGTCTCAGAGAGAAGGGGCTCCGTGGGGCAGCACTATTAGAGCCCCCCACTCTCAGCCCCTGCAGCCTGGACGATGGTTAAACCCACTTCCAGGAGTCTGGGAAAGTAGGAAATGTCAGTACCACCACCCCCATTGGTGAGGCTGGAATCCAGCCCTTTCCGGTAGGGCGGCACTCTTGCGCTCTTGCTGGCCAGAAGGGGCTCAGGAGGATGCAATGCTGGGCTCCTCGCCAGTGGTAGGTGCTCAGAGCTGTATCTTGTGTGCAGAGCCACAAGATGAACGCGGTGGCCTTCCTTGACAGTCATCTTTGCTCAAATATTTGGGGCCTCTGCCACCATTTTTAGTGGAAACTAATGCAAACACGTTATGGAAAAGATTGCGAAATTTATATGAGCTTTCAAAGATAACAGGAGGGATTTCAAAGGTATTTCATTCTTGAGACAAATGCTTCAGGCTCTGCCCCAACTCAGTGCAGGTTCCCTCTCCACTCCGGTGGGAAAGTTTGAGCACTGTAAAGCTAATGCATTTTCCCTCTCTGTGTGATTGTTATTTTTATGAAGATTCATTGAGACCCTAAGACCCAAAGGAATACCTCCCTGATGGAGGAGGGATTCAGACTGATGATGGCAGACCAGATCCTCGGAATGTCTGAGCCAGAAGGGATGTTAAAGAACAAGTCCCTTGCTAACAGAAGAGGTCCAGAAAGGACCTCTGTGACATGTCCAAGGTTACAGAGCCCCATCTCAAGGCTGTCAGGCCTACCTGCTTTGGAAACAGTTCCAGCAACCACCTAACATGCCCGCCCCCCCCCACCCCTCCCCCTGCCAAGATCTAGAGCTGCAGCTCAGGGGACTCATGCCCTCTGCAGGGGTAGTGACAGTCTTCTGTCCATCTGTCCATCCTTCCACAGGTGGTTCCAGAGCCAGCCAGACCCCAGAAAAGGTGCACACAAGTTGTCTACATCCAGCTTTTTGCACCACCTGCTTTCTGTTCCCTGCCCTTGGCAATGGCCTGGTCACATTCTCTCTACCCAGATGTTTTTGAAGTTGTTGTAACCTTATTATTTTACATTAGTCACTAATTACAGTTTGTATCAGTCAGGGTCCTGGCAGGAAACAGAAGCACACCCAGAAAGGGCTCAGCTGAAGAAAGTTTAATGGAGGGACTGTTTACAGAGGGCTGGTGAAGCACCCATAGACTAAAAACTGAAGGAAGCCATTACCACCCACGGGTGCAGAAGGGCAAGAAGAGGGCGTGAGGTGACTGGAGCCCAGTGAGGGCCAGAGGCGTGAAAGAGGGGCCACCCAGCAGGAGAAACACAGCCCCCGGCAGAACTGCAGTCAGGAAAGGAGGGAGTGAGGGAGAAATGCCCCCACCACCTCTCCTCCTGTCTTCTGCCGGGACCTCCCATTGGCCAAACCAACTGGAAGCCAGATGGCGAGGGAGCCCAGGTGAGGCAGTCCACGGAGGACATCCTCCCAGGTGGAGAAGCAGAGAAGCGAGGAGGGCAGCCGAGGGACACGGAATACCAGCACATGGCTGACTTCTTTCTTCCATTTATCTTCTCTGCTTGTGAAGTGCCACATCAACCATTTCTCAATGGTTCTTGAGTGCTGCTTGCTGAGTTTCGATTGGCTGAATATTACCTGTGGTCTGATTGGACCAAGCATCAGCCAAAAATGGCCAGTCACAGGAGAATATGGAGTGAGATTGTCCTCGCGGTGAAGTCATGCGCTGTGAGCTTTATTTTTCACGGCTCAACAAATTCTGCACGTGTAGTAGCCCCAAACCCAATGTCCTTCCTCTCAAAAACGCTGAAAATAGGCATTGCTTCCATTCACATGAACAATGGGTGAAGCTTAAACGGGTGGGCTGAGTACATCACGTTCTTGCTTTTTGTGATCTGGAAGGAGGCCCAGGGTCAGTAAGGCCCTGGCCCAGTCAAAGCTATGGGCTGGAGAATGAAACTGGGCCATTTGTAGAGATGTGGATGGACCTAGAGACTGTCATACAGAGTGAAGTAAGTCAGAAAGAGAAAAACAAATATCGTATATTAACGCATATATGTGGAACCAAGAAAAATGGTACAGATGCAGGATAGAAATAGAGACACGGATGTAGAGAACAAACGTATGGACACCAAGGGGGGAAAGTCGCGGAGGGGGGTGGTGTGATGAATTGGGAGATTGGGATTGACATATATATACTAATATGTATAAAATGGATAAGTAATAAGAACCTGCTGTATAAAAAATAAATAAAATTTTAAAAAAGCTATGGGCTGGAGGCAGTTACTGGAGTTCATCTCATATGCCGATTATAATCACCGGGTCAGTGTGCTAACAAGGATCCTGAGGTGGCATCTGGTCTCAGCAGTGCCGTGATTGATTAGTGATGTCATGGACAGTAAGAGTGGTGGTGCAAGTGCCATCTTGGACCTAAGCAGTTACCTAGCTTGGCTTTTGACAGAGCCTCTGTGATTTCCTCTCTCAGCCTGGGACTTCCCTCGCTCTCACCCTTCTCCCTTTCCCTCACCATGTTGGATCACACTGAGTAAGTGCAGCCTAGGAATACATCCAGCTGGCTCCACCTCAAACCCTCTAGCCAGCTGACCAAGGAACCTGATCGTGCTCTGCTCCATAGGCCACCACCCACGTGTATGTGACCATCGTGGACGAGAACGATAACGCGCCCGTGTTCCAGCAGCCCCACTACGAGATCTTACTGGATGAGGGCCCGGACACAATCAATGCCAGCCTCGTCACCATCCAGGCACTAGACCCGGATGAGGGGCCCAACGGCACAGTTACCTACGCCATCGTTGCCGGCAACATCATCGACACCTTTCACATCAACAGGCACACGGTCAGTGGCTGGTGGCGGGGTCCAGGAAGAGGGTCAGCTGGCCAAAGGGATTGGAGGGGAGCTCAGTGACACCATGGGGGTGGGAGCAGAGCAAAGATGGAGTCCGGGAAGAAACTGGGGGCGGGGGGGGGGGCAGCCAGAACGGGGGGATGAAAAGGTTGGGGGGGGCCTGGTTTAGGGGAC